TAAGCCTTTATGTTATTATGTAAGGAATAATAGGTGTGTTGAGGGAAGTCCATTTTTGAAAGGCATGACGAAGGGATGAAACATCATTTAAAGCCCTTTTTCGTCTGTCTAAGGTTGATAATGTAGGCATTAACAAAGTTCTAGTAGATGAATGAGCGACAATTAACTTGATGTCACCTTCTTTTTCAAAGAAAATTGGCAAGTATGGTAATGATTGAAGGCCTCGTGATATGGTTATGTCAAAGTAATAAGGAAAACCAAGTAAATCTTTAGGAGTTATTCATGTAGATATTAATGCATGCATAACTATAAGACCAACATTATTTATGGTCATTTCAACTAAAGCAAACTATAATATTTTGATTGGTCTAGAGTGGATCCATAATGTGGGGGAAGTCCCCTAAACTCTGCACCATAGGATTTGGATCTGGAGATCATATGACATTGTAGAAAATGTTGATATTAATCAAAGTTATTTTTCGACAAAGGTTAACCATATAGATAAGAAAAAAATTGATAAAGAATTGGCGAACATTTCACCCTGTTGCTTGCTGGAACGAGATTTTCTTCACAATGAGATATGTTTCTACTCAATGAAGATTCATTAGCTTCAAGTAAGAGGATATAAACTCAAGATACACTTGAAGAATTCAGGGATTGCTTCACTTGGTATTTTAACTAAATTCCAGGGTTCAGTCGAGATTTGGTGGAATTAAAGTGCTGATTTGACCTGATAGGAGGCCACTAAACCAAACACCAAGAACATTTGCACCAGTAGTGATGTCGAAAGTCAAAGAGGAAATCAAAAGGCTTCCAAGAAATGAATTCATACAAACTGTAAGGTATGTCGAGTGGTTAGCAAGTATAGTTCCTATTATTAAAAAGAGTGAGACTCTTAGAGTCTATATTAATTATAAATATTTAAATTTTTCTACCACAAAAGATGAATACCCAATGCATGTAGGAGAAATGTTAGTCGATTTAGGAACATGCTTTGAATATTTAATTATTTTAGATGGTTATTAAGAGTATAACCAAATTCACATTGCAGAGGAAGATGTGTCAGAAACAGAGTTTCTATGAATTTATATATTTCGGCATCTGAACTGACAATAGAAAATATGTTAGCCCAAGAGGATGATTATTGTGTCAAAAAAGTCATTTATTACCTTAGTCGAGTTTTAATTGATGCAAAAACTAGGTATGGTCCAATAGAAAAGTTGTGTCTTTGTTTGTATTTCTCATGTACTAAATTGAAATGTTATATAAAACCTACAGAAGTTTTTGTTTATTTCTCATTTTGATGTTATTAAGCACATGTTGTTGAAACTCATTTTACACAGTCGAATTAGAAAATGGACTTTGACTTTGTCTAAGTATTCTCTAAAGTATGCATCTTTAAGGGCTATGAAAGGCCAAGATGTTGTTCATTTTATTATTGATCATACAATAGTCGAAGTAACACAAGATTTTGTCAGTCTAAAGCCTTGGAAATTATACTTTGATGGTTCCAAACACAAAAATAGAGTTGGTATTGGAATTTTGATCATTTCTCCTAAAGAAATTTCAACAAGGTTCAAATTTAAAATTACAGGTTATTGTTCTAATAATGAGGCTAAGTATGAAGCCTTAATTGCAAGTCTTAAGATTCTTTTAGGCTTTACGACAAAAGGAGTCGAGGTTAGAGGCAACTCAAAGTTGGTTGTTAAATAACTGACAAAAGAACACAAATGCATCAAGGATAATTTATTGATGTACTTTGTAAAGGTCAATTCGTTATTAAGAATATTTGATTAAAGTCAACATTAAATATGTCCATCGAGTAGAAAACCAAGAGGTTAATGATTTGCCACAAATTGCTTTAGGATATAGAGTTTTCAAAGAAAAACTACTAGAGTTAATTTAAGTAAAGGAAAAGTTAATTTCGACCAATCCTTTCTTCCTAGATTTGTAAAAATAAAAATCAGTTGGGGTAGAAAGGTTGGAAGAATTTAAAAACTCTGGAGAAATTTTTGGAAATTTTGCCATTGTTACTTCGACTAATGATTGGCGAAAATCAATTATTGAATTTTTGGAAAATTCGACAGGAATGACAGATCGAAAAATCAAGTACAACACATTAAGTTATGTGGTTATTGGGAACACATTGTTAAAAAGAATCCTGAAGGAATCTTGCTTAAATGCCTCAGTGAGAGTGAAACTTATTTGGTATTTTTTATGCCCATAATGGATCATGTGGCGCTCATCAAGCAAGTCTTAAGAAAAAATGACTTTTATTTAGACAAGGTTTATATTGACCAACTATACTGAAAGACTGTATTGAGTTTGCTAAAAGCTGTCAAGAATGCTAGAAACATGCAGATATTAAACATGTTGCAAGTGAGTTGCATCCGATTCTCAAGCCTTGGCCATTTAAAAATTGGACGTTGTATTTAATTGGTGAAATTCAACCTATATCATCCAAGAGTCATAGGTACGTTTTGGTTGGTATAAATTATTTTATTCATAACCACATTATTTACAGGTTTAGAATTCCTGAAACTTTAATCGCTGATCAATGTATAATGTTTATTGGTCAAAAATATGGTTGAGTTTGCTTCAGACTCAGGAATCAAACTTTTAACATCTACCCCAGATTATACTCAAGTAAATTACCAAGTCGAAGCAGCCAACAAAATTATAATAGGCCTAATTAAGATACATTTGAGTCAGAAGCCAAGAAATTGGCATAAAACTTCAGACCAAATATTATGGGTTTTTCGAAATTCTCCTAAAGAGGCAACTAATTCTACTTTGTTTCGACTGGCATTTGATCATGATTCATTTTTGCATGTCAAAATTTATTTACAGTCAACCAGAATTCAAAGACAACTTAAAATTCCTTCTGACCACTATTGAAATATGGTGTTAGACGAATTAGTTAATTTAAATGAGGAAATGTTAGTTGCCTTGAATGTTCTCATAAGACAAAAAAAAATGAATAACTAAGGCCTACAATAAGAAAGTTAGATTGAATGTCTTTATAGTTGGTGATTACGTTTGAAAAGTTATTTCGCATATGGATAGGAATAAAAATGAGTCGAGTCGAGTTGAACTCTCCTCAGTTTGACTAAATCATTAAGAATTGGTTCAGCTCAAATCTCGATTCGAGATTGACACAATTTTTTTTAAGTTATAAGTTCACGAACAATTCGGTTCATCTCGCTAGGTTCAGCTGACTTGCTTTACGGGCTTAAAAGTCATTTTTAAAGTATATTTTATTTATATATTTGACATTTTAAATTAATATTTTAGAAATAAAATAAAAATCATCAGATTAAATTTTAACTTTATCTCAAAAATCTACTATTCAAAAACTAAGCAACTCAAAATGAATCAATAACTCTCCCTCCAACGTTAAAAGTTGACTCCGAAGCCAGTATTGGAATGACAAGAACATTTGTTGCTGTCATATGGGATACCACTTTATATTTTTCGCCGTTAGATTAAAAGAAAATATAGAGTTAAGATTTAGAGTAAATCTTTAAACTTACTCTTAAAAACAATGTAATCTTTCTCATATATAATCGAGTTGATTAATGAAACTAACGAGTCAAATTATATATAGTTTAAGTTTAGTTCATTTAGTTAACGAACTTAGTTTTTCGTTCATATTTCACTCATTTGATTCATTAACCTAATTTAATACTTTAATTGTCAAATTAAATTTCAAATTATTTTTGAGTTAGTTCGATTCATTATCAACTCTACCTATAAATTAAAAAGATAAGACTTTAAATAAATGGTTATCAAATTATAAAGACACGTTTCAAATTTATCAAGTGTTTTCAAAATACCATAACATCAACAAATCTTTGAAAAACATAGGAAGAGTATTAATAATTTTTTATTACTAGATAGAAATTTATCTCAATGATATATTTAAGTTAAAAGAAATTAATATAAATTTAAAACATATAAAAAGTTATATTAAAATTGACTGATAGTAGCGATAGGGTAAAATATTTTCATATCAATAATAATATAAGTCAATTCATAAATTCATTATAAAATATAATTGTGTGACAATAATTATTTTACTAGTTATAGTTAATCTTTACAAAGTTACAAATATTTAGTTTAATATTGTCTTTGGTCTTATATATAAGAAAAAATATGATCAAGATCAAAGAAACTCTAGTGTTTTTTTTCTTCAATTTTTTTAAAAACTAAATTAACTTTAACATTAAATAATTTCACGCACTAATATGATATTAGTTATACTTTTTGTAATATCAATTGGAATAATCTAAAGACGGTTGGACTTGTTTAAATGTTGATAGAGTTATGAGTCACGATGACATAGCAGATTGTAAAGGTCTTTTGAGGATATACTCACTGACAAATTCAGAAACTTTTTATAGTAGAAAAAAAAAGTTCATAAATGGCTTCTTCTTCTATTTAGAGAGGATCTTTTTATTTCTGTTGCAAGATACTCTGATTAGTTGTTTTATGAACTTTTGCCCTCTCATTAAAAAAAGTATAAAATCATTTATGATTTTTTTATTTAGAAAAGAATTCAAAAAATTTCTTATATAGATTAAAGGATTAAGAAAATATTCTATGTGACATAAATGGCTTCTTCTTCCATTTAAATAGGAATTTTCTATTTCTTTTGTAAGATACTCTGATTAATTGTCTTATGAACTTTTGCCATCTCACTAAAAAAAAAGTATAAAATCGTTTATGATTTTTTTATTTAGAAAAGAATTTAAAAATTTTCTTATATAGATTAAAGGATTAAGAGAATATCTTTTACACACTCTTTTTGTTTCACAACAACTTTTTTGTAGACCTCATATCTCAACTCAACCGTTTTGTTTCTTTACGACAAACAAATCTCAACCGTTGGTATTCGCGTCACGCTGGAATCTTACAAACCCACCGCTTCTCTCTTCCTCTCCCTCACGCCCTCTCAATAAAATCTCCGTTTTCTCTCTCTTTACTCTCACAACACAAAAATGGCGTCACTCTCCCACCTCAACCAGCTTCTCCACACCAACACCCTTCCAGTAACCCCTCTCAACTCCACACCTTCAATCTCTCCACCGACCACCACCGTCGGATTCCGAAGCAAACAGTTCGGAAGACCGATTGTGTTGGCAGATGTTTCGAGGCGGATGGTTTACGTTCGGTCTAACATAAACGACGATGAGTGGGGTACAGAGAAGGAGGTACCTTCTCCGGCTGTGGCGGTTACGGAGGTGAAGTTGACGGATAGTGAGACGGAGAAGCTGAAGAAGGCTCTGGTTGGTTCGTTTTATGGGACGGATCGTGGGTTGAAGGCGACGAGTGACACGAGAGCGGAGATTGTTGAGCTTATTACTCAGCTTGAGGCTAAGAATCCAACTCCTGCTTCTAATGATGCTTTGACTCTGCTCAATGGAAAATGGATTCTCGCGTAAGTTAATTTGTTTTACTGTTTGATTTGATTCTTTTGTGTGTTTTTAGCTATGAAATATGCAACTCTATATACTAAATAAATTTAACATAATCACAAGTGTTCTGGTCGTGGTCGTGTCTTGTCGGTGTCTATGTCCAACACTAATACTGAAACACTTTTTTCAGTATGGTGCTAGAGGTGTTTAGTTTGTGTTCTGCTGCTAACAAACTTATGGTTGAATTTGTGGTTCAACAGATATACATCCTTTGCAGGTTTATTTCCATTGCTGTCGAGTGGACTACTACCATTGCTCAAGGTTGAAGAAATATCTCAGACTATTGACTCTCAAAGTTTAACTGTCCAAAACTCTGTTCAGTTTGCAGGTCCTTTGACAACCACCTCGATCAGTACCAATGCCAAATTTGAAATTCGAAGTCCAAATCGTTTGCAGGTCCGTCCATCCTCCTTCTCTATTACTTCTCCTGATCCTTAATATAAGAAAAAATTTACTTTTTAAATATACAGAATGATTAATATATCTAGTCTATATACAGTCGAGCAACTTTCGATGAAAATGTGAAATTTAGGATATTGGTCTCATGTTGCATGTTATTATTTAGATCAAGTTTGAGGAAGGTGTCATAGGAACTCCACAGCTGACAGATTCATTAGAGATACCAGAAAATGTGGAATTCTTGGGCCAGAAAATCGACCTATCACCTTTCAAAGGCATACTTACTTCTGTCCAAAGCACTGCTTCATCAGTTGTGCAAACAATTTCCAATCAGCCTCCATTGAAGATTCCAATTTCCAACAACAAAGCTCAATCTTGGTTGCTTACTACTTATCTTGATGAAGAGCTGCGTATCTCAAGAGGTGATGGTGGCAGTGTGTTTGTTCTTATCAAAGAAGGGAGTTCTCTTTTGACAAACTAAAAGAAATTTATATTGGTTTACTTTCTTGGTCATTGTATATGTAATAATTTCCAGCTGTTCTTGTATTTTCATGATAAGCAACACTGGATTAGATACAAATATGTTATAGTACTTGATAGTTTGGGAATCAAGATCTGAACTAAATTAATAGAAAAAGTTGTGGAAATGACTTGTTATCTATGTCTAGGACTCACAGTTTTGTATTTGTATCATCTGTTGCATACTTTAAGTATATAGTTTTATTTGTTGAAGTAAACATACGATCATTGCATTTTCATTAAAATCAAGTTTTCAATGCAGGGTGGAGCATAATCAAAAGATTGGTAACTAGTATAAAATGTGTTACTTATGTAAGCCACCATTTGAACTCTAAGCCTCATTATCAAACACTAATTTGAATTACGCCTTAAGGACTTGTAATGATTTGTTTTTTTAATCTAGATTTAGGTCACTTTTTGATAAAATGTGGATAATTTATTCAATGTGACATGATATCGGTGGAATTAAGTTAAATGGAGGTCTAAGGTCTATTTTTAAAGTCAAACATATTAGTTTTTTTATCATGTGTAAATTTTATCGAAGTTATATTTTAATTAGATATATTTTAAGTTTGTTTTTATCAATTAATGTTTTGGGTCTTGGACTTACCACTCTGAAATAGTTCGTTTCGGGCCAAAGCTTTTTGATTGATTACAGGGTTAAGTTTACAGGGTCTTCTCGTTACCGTAGAGTAATCTTACATTTTGTTGTAGGAGATTTCCGCCTCATGCACATCCAATGATCCTCCGCCTTTTATGTATAAAAGATAGCAAAGTCGTTATTCCTCTCTCCTATATACATGGAATGACGCCAAATCATTAATAAGTTTTAAACACAATTTGAATACTCTCTACTCCTTTATATACTGACTTAAGCGTAAAAGTGCTAACTTTACAGGTACACTACCACTCTACCGCATTGGAAGTTCTACTTCGTTGCAACTTCCGCATATCTCTCTATTTCTAATTCTAGAACGGAATAGTGACACCATATGTGGGAAACGAGTCTTGATTCTTGCCTTTTTTACGACTCAATATTTGTGTTTAGTTTTTCCTTCAACCTTTGAATGGAGATCTTACAAATCGAGCACGAGACTTAATTACCTTTGATTAATTCGAACTCTATGTTGATTACAACTCACTGATTTTTCAGATTTTCAGATATCAGCATTTCTATTGTGAATTGATGTCATCAAGAACAAATCAAAATATGAGATAGAGATTGAGTTTATTGAACAATGAAACTATCTTTGTCAACACTAGAGTTTGATCCAAATACCACAAATCTCCATCTTGAAACAAACTCTAAACCAACAACGGAACAAACTAACTTTCATCATACAACTTTATCAACTGCATACACTGAAAAAACTTGGTACTTGGCAATGTCTTGGTGGTCATATCAGCAACATTGTCATCAGTCAAAACATTAAGTGCTTAGAATTCTCCATGCTCGATTATCTCTCTGACGAAGTGCAGTCTTACATCGATGTACCTGGTTCGCTCATGATAGGTTGAATTCTTCGATAGACGTATTACACGTTGACTATCACATTTAACAGTGATAACTCGATCTTGAAGTTTTAGCTCTTTAGCAAAACCTTCAAGCCACAATGCTTCTTTCACAACTTCAGTGATGGTGATATATTCTGCTTAAGTGGTTGATAAGGAAACAACCTTCTAAAGTGTTGCTTTTAAACTGATTGATGTGCCAAACATAGTTAACACATATCTAAAAATAGATTTTCTAGAATTCGTACAACCTGCATAATCAGAGTCAACAAATCCTTTCATTTTGACTTTGCTATCACCACAAGCTTCATCGTAAAGCAGGACTCTACTCAGAGACCCATCGATGTACCTAAGAATCCACTTTAAAGGTTGTTAGTGCGTCTTCCTAGGATTGACCATATACCTGCTTACAAGGCTCACTCTGTACGTTATGTCTGGCCTCGTACAGACCATAATATACATCAAAGAACCTACTATACTATCATATGGAATTTTATTCATATAGTCTCTTTCGACTTCAGTACTAGAATTTTGAGTCGTACTTAGCTTATACTGAGGATTAATCGGTGTTAGAACATGTTTTGACTTCGATATACCAAATTTGTCCATAATATTCTTCAGGCATGTCTCTTGAGATAAGCATAATCTTGACTGCTTTTTATCTCTCTAGATGTCAATGCCAAGAATTATAGAGCTAACTCCCAAGTCCCTCATGTCGAACTTCTTATCGAGTTCATCGTTCACCTTCATAACATCTTCGACACCATTGCTTGCTATGAGGATGTCATCCACATAAAGCAACAAAATAACAAGTGAATTTTAAGGTTGAAATCTGAAGTAAACACAGTGGTCTAACTGGCTCCTAGTGAAACCAATGTGTGCCATGAACTTGTCGAATCTCCTATTCAATTGTCGAGGAGATTGTTTCAGGCCATACAAGGACCTATTCAGCTTGCATATATACTCTTCTTTTCCCTTTTCTGTATACCTTTTAGATTGTCTCATCAGGATTGTTTCATCTAGATCACCATACAGGAAGGTTGTCTTCACATCCACTTGTTCAAGTTTTAAGTCGAACTTTGCCACCATGGCTAACATTTTAATGGATCTATATTTTAAAACAGGTGAGATCACATCGTTGAAGTCGACACCTTCTTTCTGAGTGAACCCCCTAGCAACAAATCTTTCCTTAAAATGCTTCCATATAATTCCTTCGATTCCTTTCTTAACCTTGAAAATCCATTTACAACTTACTAACCTGGCCCCTTTGGTTTCTCGATCAGCTCCCAACTGTTATTATCATGGAGAGATTTCATCTCATCATCCATGGCTTTCATCCATTCAGCCTTACTTCGACTTCTCATAACTTCCTTATAGTCTCTATGTTCTTTGTCAAGAACCTCACTTGCATAAATTAAGGCATAAGCTATGAGATTTTCATAACCAAGTCTATGAGGTGGTTTGATGAGTCTTCTCGACTTGTCTCTTGCTAGAAGGTAGTCATTATCAGTCTCCTCATCTTCATCAACAACTTGAGATTCTTCTTTGACTTCATCTGAGTTATGCAATTCAGCATCACTATGCTCCACCTCAACATGAATCTCTTTATGTTCCAGCTCTTCTTCAGAGATCTTCGAACTTCGACCAATGCCATCAGTTTTCTTGAAATCCCTCTCAGCTTCATTGAAAACTACATCTCGGCTTATGATACACCTCCTATGACCTGGCTCTGGGCACCACAACCTATAAGCTTTGCCTCCTTATGGGTACCAAGAAACATACATCTCAGAGCTCTAGGTTCGACCTTGTCTTGCCTAATATGATCATAGACTAAACAACCAAATACTCTAAGTCTATTGAGACTATGTGGATGTCCTAATTATACTTATTTAGGTGTCTTCATTCCCAAGGCTATTGAGGACACCTATTTATCAAGTATGTTGCAGCCACAACAACTTCTGCCCTAGACACCATCTTCAATGCAATCACTAACATGCATCTCACCCTTTCTAGAATGGTTCAAATAAACCTTTTAGTCAAACCATTTTGTTGGGGAATCCTTGCAGTAGTTTTCTGCCTTGCAATACCATACGCAACACAAGAGCTTTCAAAAACCTCATTGCAAAATTCAAGATCATTTGTCGGTCCTCAATATATTGACCTTCTTGCCAATTTGGTTTTCGACCAGAGTTTTCCAACTTTTGAAATTTTCAAAAGTTTCATCCTAAGTCTACCCATAACTTTTTGGAATAATCATCGACCATGGATAGGAAATACTTTGCACCTGAGTGTGAAGGATTTCTTGCAGGCCCCAAAGATCAGCATGAATGTAATCAAGGGATTCATGTGTTTTTTGTTTACCTTTGTTAAACTTTATTCTACATGATTTACCAAATACACAAGGTTCACAAAACTCCAGTTTTTCGACCATGTAACCATATAACAGATTTTGTTTCGACAATTCATTTAGGCCTCTTTCACTGGTATGGCCAACTCTCTTGCGCCATAGCTCAGTCTTCATCACATGTTTTATGGATGCCACATCTGTTGAACCACTTATAATCTCAAGGGTATAAAATCCTTATTTCTTCACGCCTTTCAAGACTTCCTTCGACCCACTCATTATTCTTAGGATGCTCTGCTCTCCTTTAAAAATATATCCTTTCTTATCAAATTCACTAAGAGAAAATAAATTCATCTTAAGATCGGGTATATACCTAACATCACTTAATAGCCTTATTGACTCATCATGGAGCTTGAATCTCACAGATCCAATACCTGTAAATTTGCAAGCTTTGTTGTTTCTCGGCAACATTGATCGGCCATCTTGATTACACAATTACTGAAACACGTCTTTGTTTGAAGTTATGTGCCAAGTACACCCTGAATCCATAATCCACTCCTTGCTAGAGTCACTGCTTGAAACCATTGGGACATCAGATGATTCATAACCATCTTGCACAATGGTTGCATTACCATTATCCTTTCTACCATGATTGTTCAGAAGACCGGGCATAATTTTCTTGTATGACCCTCATTCTTACAATGATAACACTTAATAGTAGGAGCATTACCACCATAAGAATTATGTAGAAATTTACCCTTCATTTTCTCAAACCTATCGTCTTTATTCAAGAATTTCCCCTTAACGAATAATCCTTCACCAACAAAAGATGGCTTGTGCTCCTTTCATTCGTTCAAATCCTTAGAGTACAAGGCACATTGAACATCTTTAAAGGTTAATAATTCTCTTCCATACAAGAGATTTTCTTTGATGTGAGCATGTGACTTAGGTAAAGAGCACAACAACAGGAATGCTTGATCTTCGTCATCAATCTTGACCTCTGTATTCTCAAGATAAATAATCAACTTATTGAACATATCCAGCTGCTCAGCCAGAGCTTTATCTTCACTCATCTTGAATGAATACAAAACTTGCTTCAGGTAGAG